AGGAAGGTTCGACGAAGAGGAGAGGAAGGTTCGACGAAGAGGAGAGGAAGGTTCGACGAAGAGGAGAGGAAGGTTCGACGAAGAGGAGAGGAAGGTTCGACGAAGAGGAAGGTTCGACGAAGAGGAAGTTTCGACGAAGAGGAAGGTTCGACGAAGAAGAAGGTTCGACGAAGAGGAAGGTTCGATGAAGAGGAGAGGAAGGTTCGACGAAGAGGAGAGGAAGGTTCGACGAAGAGGAGAGGAAGGTTCGATGAAGAGGAGGGGTTCTCACTTTGGTCCGCCACACTCCACAGCCGAGGCTTTGACCACGGGCAGCGGCTGGAAGCCCACCGGCTCCACGCTGAGCGCGTTCTGCTCCACGGCTTCCAAGATGGCCGAACCCAGCTGAGGAAGAAGACGGGCATTTTGTTACCAAAATAAAAGCTGCTCTACAGGAACCTGCCAATATTGTTTAAAATCAAAAGAGCAAATAAAAAAAGGAGTGGGGCAGTWAAAGGACCTCGCTCTTGCTGAAGGCGAGGCAGGGGTAAATGTCCTCGCGGTAAACTCTGTCCAGGAAGCTGCAGGTCCGGTCCAGCGTTGGCTCCTCCCTCCACGCTCTGAACTCCACGAACAGCTGCGTGTCCACCTGAAACATCAAAGGCTCAATCAGAACTCCAGGGTCCGGGTCCAGGAGAGCCGGCTCTGCTCTAAGCCCCGCCCACCTCCCGACACTCCCGGACGATGGGCAGCGTGGCCGACGGGTCGGGCTGCGTCCCCAGCATGGCAGAGGACGTGCTCTTGTTCCGGCTGTGGCCCTTCTTGAAGGGGGTCTTGACTCCTCCCCCCACCGCCGAGGGGAGCTCGGCCACGGGGGAGGTGGGGGAGGAGAGCACCAGGGTCTTCAGGGCCTGGACCTCCGCCTGGAGGACGTCGATCTGAAGACAGGAGACGGATAAACTGACGGTCTGAGCAGGAGAGTCGATCAGATCACAGCAAAGACAAAACTTTTCACAATAAAAGCTGCAGCTGTCCTCACCTTGCCCTGAGCTTCTTTTAGCTGTTTTTCAGCATTCGCCTGTTTGACGTTAGCTTCTCTCACCATCTTATGAGCCTCCTGAGAAACAAGACAACAGAGTTTAAATACGAGTTTGATCCAAAATAATAAAAAAAAATTGTTTTATTTTCTTATGTAAAAAGAAGAAAATCCCAACACCTCAGGAGAAGAAAAGACAAAATATGGGATCAATCGTGTGCCAACAGGAACTGAATCTGAATGTGCAGAATTTTAAATTGAACGCATTGGTTTGAAAATAAACTTCACTAAAGTGAATCTGAATTTAAAGTTTTGTATCTGAATTAATTGTCTTTGAAACTGTAT